TGACTTTATTTAGTGGCGGGTCACATACACCGCGTCACAGTGTTAGTAAAGGGATAGCGGTGGTTTTTATATGGAAAACGCTTGCCAGGCGAATACTCACCACAACCTGGAACACTGCCGCCGAACCATTTGCTGGAACGGTATTAACCCGAACCACCCAGATGGCACCACGGGGAGGTTGTTCAGTTAGCCAGACAGTCGTTTTGTATCAGACATACAATTTGCAGTGAATTGCATGCTCAGTAGTAACTGGCCTACTTTCTGGTATACTTTGCCTCCATCTAGCAAAAATCCTCTAAGGTGTGTCACTAGGGTTAGCCCAATGTTTGTGGTTCGATAAAAATTGTACAAGTCCTAAAACTCACCTTAGCTATCTAGAAAATATGCTGCATTACTTGACTTATATGAGCTGCTAGAGTCACCAGGTGCGCTCACTAATGCTTACCGGCCTGTTCTCTATAATCCCTCAGCTATACACGCCACCCAGCGTTAATAGTAGTTGTGGTCTAGAGCGTTACAGTGCTTTGCAATATTCATTATCCACAAGAATCCTCAAAATGAGGCATTCGCACCAGGAATACATATGCCGTGTCGAAATGTCTTGATTCTCAATAACGTGCTTTTAAGGCTTTTAACGTTTAAGCGCGACGTTCCCTCCCTTTTTAGTGCTTACGATCGCTTGAGCTTAGAAAACCTGCTTTTCGGCCAACCAATTCGCACCTTAATGTACCGATACTCTTTAACCACCTTGCACCCTTTTAAACACACCACTATTTAGCTGAGAGAATGCCAATACATACAACCTTTTCTCTTTTTTACGACGTAATTGTTAGCGATACAACTGCGCCAATTTTAACATGAGAAGCTAACGGTGCTACACGCAGTCGCCAAATAATTTGTAAACGGCTACGAAATTTTCAGTTATCTCACTTTTACCGTTCCACACGCTCAAGGTTTAGATTTCTAGCATTTTCTAAAGGTACAATAAAATTCCAGTGCTGCCTTTTTCTTTACTTGCATTGTGCGACTCAGGGTTACCCATTAATCGGAAATGCAGAAAATATTTTTATTTTCTAAGTAATATTGGCCACGTACGCGGCTCTATTAAGTCTATCTTTAGTAAAATCTTTAACATTTATATTCACTGTCGTGGAAGGTCGTGTTAACCTTTTTTTACCCCTTCTGCTTTCATCGTTATCTTTGCTCTTCCATGAGCCTCCTATGTATCGGGATGTCTGTATGCGCAGATATACTAAGCTGAAAATCGAAGCAATTAGATCAAGAGGTAGGTTCGATGACTCCGGACTGTCCTATAATGAAAGGTCTATAATAACGCCCCAATATTTTGGATGCGTAGCAATAACACGCAATCGCAACCATCGACAGCTGAAATATACAAAATAGTAACTGCGCCTGATGCCGATATACACCGAAATCTATCAAACGGTGGTAATCTACGCACTGGGAGTTAGAAAGTATTTCATCCAACATCTTTCTTATTCGTGCAAGAGCATTGAAATATTGTACAAAATGATCTTGTCCCCTGTGAGCATAGCTTCTAGCAGAGGACAAATAAAATGCGTTTTATTTTTATTATTTATTTTGTAGCGCCTTCAAAACCTCTCATGTGTGCTTTGGCTAAATAAGGTTTGGCGCTTATTACCTATTCCCGCAGTGTTCTTCAAGCACTTTGCCAGACAATGTGACCGACATACTGTATGGCCAAGGATCCTGGAACGTTCGACTTCTCGTTGGCGTACTTTCATTGAACTAGGCAGGCCCTCGTTGGCGAATGCGCTTAGTATACCTGGGAACCTATCATGTGCTCATGCCCTAGGGGTATGTCGCCTAACTGGCTATCCGCAAGCTAGCCTGTTCAAACAAAGTTGGCAATTTTACCTGCGTAAGCAACGGGGGAATTTTTCCAGTTTGTGGAACAAAAGTCGGAGGTGGTGCAGCAAGTTCCACAGAGCACGGGTGCGGGGAAGCTGGCTAATCTTGAGTGTTGGAAAGGGAATAACAATCGTTTTAACTTAACCGGTGTTTTCAACACGTATGCAGGTGAGCTTTCTTATGCACCAGGCCGTGTGTCTTGGTGTAAGGCCTGATTTGGTAGTGATGGGCTAAGCATCCAATCACGTGAAAAATCTTAAACACTGGTGTTCGGTAAGGAATTTTTCGTAAGGGGAAAAGCGGAGGCGTTTGATTGTCTTTCTTTGATAAAGAGGCAGCAAGCCAGGTAATGCTGAGCGTTGTACTCAGTCCACCTCATATAATACGCGGCCACAGCATCGATCCAAACGAAAGCAGAGGCTTGCCAGTTGGAACTGGATGATGAGGACATGATGATCATAAGTGAACAGTTCCAGAATATGAATTTCCGACCACCGCGAACTACGACTGAAGCGGCATACTGTTTGCCGAACAAGCGGCGAAGGGCAGTGTAATTATCACATAAAGGGAACCACTGAGGCATTTGCGGTAAAAAGCAACAAAAATAGGTGGACCTGGACGGAAAAATAAAGTGGGTTCAATGCGGCGATTGCACACATCGTACCATAAAGCATGGGCTGAAATCCGGGACCAGAAACTGTCGTATAAACGTTTAGACGGCAAAGGAATCATGAGGGACGAGTGAGCAGGCTAAAGATGCATCGGTAAGGGGTTGTCAATAAACGGAGTAAACATAAATGTTTTGAAAAACAACTGCACGTGAAAGCCGTTGAAAACCAAACAGGACCCAAAACCTTTTGAAAAATGCAAAAAGCAAAAAATTTAGAAACTCAATACATGTATATTATTATCTGTAGTTGGTCATGCGTGTGTTCCCTTACGGGTGAAGGTTTTATGTCGTGATCCAGCACATGCCATACATACGAGTAACCATGCCTGCATTTTCCTGTTGATGTTATGAACCTGCGAAAAGTTAATCGCTGCATCTGAAGTTATCCATGCATAGCATCCCCTTGTATTAACATTTTGGAACTTTACCAGTGGACACTTGTGGGAACTTGAAAGGATCCGTTCGTCTGGTTCTCCCCCAGCTGCTGCGGCAGGTTACACCAGATGGTTTTGCAGCAGGATGGCACACGACGGACGGTTCTCAGTTAGATCAAAGGGTCGGAACCTTCATTCGGCAGAGGCGGCCAAAGATATCTCCTTTGTCTGTTATAGGTTTGCTAAATTATATTCAATCTAATCTTAGGTTGTACCTTAGGTTGCTAAAGGACTTGTGTGCTGGAATGTTGCTGTTGGTCACTTGCGTCCATGCAGCATCAGACTATACAACACGTTGCGATTGCATCGGCAACGTACATCGCTTGGAACTACTGTGGAATTCCCAAGCTCTCATAGTTGCTTCTATTTATGTTGGCATTCAGAAATCGGGCTTGTATATTTCCACTATAAACCTTCGTCGCTTCACCTTAACCTACCTTCTCGTAGCTTTTTAAAGGTTATTTTTCTTGGGGAACCGGAGTACATCACCGCTCTCTGCCCATGCTACTTATTGGCATTGTAGCCACTCCGCCCAATGTACAGTTACCTCGGTTGCAGGTTAGAATGATTTTCTGCAGTCAAACATTTTAGTCTAATCTTGCACGAAGTGCCAACTACCAGCTTTTGCACCTTTGGATTTCGGCGTTAGTAACTGATGCAACAACTTCCTCTATCTACCAATGACCTTAAGGGTAATAAATCGCTCGCTGCTAATCGATGGTCTAAGCTCTACCCCTCATTAGACCGTAAGCGGTATGCAACGGTTAGTACTAGGGATACAGTTACTGTGTCGCCTAGATGTGCTAATGAAAACTACAGAATGTTTAGAATTAACCCGCTGCGGAGCACAGATAAATAATTCGTCCAACCATCCTAGGATTAGAGGGCTGCAACACTTAGAGTGATTAAGGTAACCTGCGCAGGAGCCGTAGGTCGATATTTACTGAAGTTACACAAACCGGTGGCAAATAATCATGAAGTAAGCCTCAAAATATAAAATGCTAAAGCGCTGCGATGCCCGTAGGATTAACTCGTGCCACAAGGGTGGCGTAAAGGAGATGAATTCAAGAGCCAGAAGCCGGTATGCATCATAAATACTGCGACAATGTAATGTCCGATTGCCCATAATTTCCTCCGTTACCCTAAAAGCGATGATAGACTAATTTGACATTTTAAAATGCCCGTTATTACTGGGTCTAACGTGCGCGTTAAACCTTCGCGCGGAGTAGAGGAATGCTCCATTACAGTTATTTGAACCCGATAGAAATAGTATTGTGAGCATTAAGATACCAACGAAATATCAAAAAATTAGGCGATATTTAAGGCAAACCGTTGCTAGTTATAATGTTTAATATTAAATACGTAAGAGCCAATTTTCCTTTCCTTAACTCTACCCGCAGTCACTTGCATCCACTTTAGCTGGCTAGGCGAAACTCAGTGACGAGCGAGAAACATGGAGAAGAGAAATCACTGATCCAGATCTGGAGTATAGCACTGACTTCAAACAATCTTAAGGGTTGGAAGCTGAAGGTGGACTTGCAGTCACGGGCCCAAATATGACATATCCATTTTTGGATTATGGGATTTATTGACCAGTAACGCACATCCCGATTGTTTGTTACTGAATATGAGCGTCTAAAATGTACCTACTAACCTTAAGTAGGCTTGAGGCAGTTGCTTGTTAAATGGAGTAGGTAAATTCATGTTTATGTCTTTACTTTTTCGGTCATGACTTGTATGTACAGACTTGTCCGTGTGATTAGCTTATTATAAAGTGCTACATTCATTCGAATCATATGAATAAAATTCACATGCTGTAATTTTAAATGTTTAGTGACACAACCCTTCGTAAGTGAACTAATAATATACTCGTTGATAACGTTAGATATCCGAACATAGTTTAATGAGCAATTTATAATTTACGTTCATCGATTTTTGATGACCTACCATGAAATTTTATGATGTTTATAAACGCATATTATCACAAAAATAAAATAACACTACGATTTTTAAAGCGGGCTACGGGCATCAGGCTAAGTATGTTTTTCTACTTTATAAGAAATAGGTGACTCCTAAATGGCCTTGTGGAGTGTTCAAATATTATGAACCTCTGCGGAAGGTTTCACGTGAAGTCCACGTACATAAAAGCTGCAAAGGTTAGTGTAATGCATATTTTTACAAAATACGTTTTAGGACGCCTGGGTGGTCTGTGACGTTCGACTGTTGACCGATGATGTTGATACCTTTCTTTGTATAAAATCGGTTTCTCAAGGCTCCCTAGCCACTGATGACGAGAAGAGTTCAGTACCAACCGATGGCGAGGCAAAATTTAGAAACGGCGTGGATCAAAAACCAAAGAACTCCGGCTTTACTGCTTTGTGCAATCTTAGTGAATATAAGTCTTGCTCGGTGCGCACAGTTCGCGTTAACGAACGGGATTCCTTTGCAATTCGACTAATTCCCTCCGGTGTCATTGGAAATAAACAGCTTTTGATTGCATCTACTGATGAACAAGAGATAACTAGTTGGTTGGCTCTCTGTAAAGCCAGCATTGGAAAAAAATCAAAAGCATTCCATTCTTCACGTGATAATTTCAGTACAGCGGGAACTCTAAGCAAGGCTGGAAGTTTTGTCTCTTTGAAACCGTCAAACACCTCAATGGATGCTGATTTTGATGAGGCGCTTCTTGATAATGAAGTTTACGAAGCCTACACGTCAGGTAAATCAGCTGACTCTGTAGCTTTCCATCTGTTTACTCGTGTGCAATAGGCTTCACTGCAATTACTGTGCAAGTCTTCTAATCACGGTGCGTTACTGTTATCTGTTAGTAAGGTTTTTACTACACACTGCTTTATATTTCACCTGCAATCGTTCTTACCTGTCTATTTATCAGTGGAATGTTGCAGTTATTGTTTAAAAGAATTTTGCATACATTATCAGTAAGCTTCTCCTGTTTTAATAATTTCTTTCTTTAGCAATGGATTTCATTCAAACTAAACTATATGTCTACATTCTGTGATTAAATAGCAAAATACTCAAACTTGATTAACATTTAGAACACCATGATCAAAAAGACTAGTAGATCTGAATATACTTCGCACAATACTGATGATAGTGTTCTTACTTGCTACTACTTATAGATTCAGAAACAGCCTCATCAAATTAGAAACCAGCGCTTCCAGTCTCTTGAGCTTTTGGTCAAGCAGCTTAAATCACTTAACTCTAATTTCATGATTATTAATATACAATGTTGCTAGGCAATGGTAGATATTCTATGTTTTCATAGTGAGAATATAATGCGTGGATATCTAGATACACCGTAATATTTAAGCTGACTATTCCAAGTTCTAATTTACGTCTTCGGCCAGTAGTGTTTAGTCCACAGGTATAGCAGCTTCATTATAATTATTCTTAAAAAATATTTCACCTCTTCTTATGGGATCAATTTAAAACTCTTGTGAATAAATTGCAACGCGTAACCTCAATCTAGACCACCATTCTTCTCGAAGTGAAACTTGGTCAACTCGATCACTGAGAGTAAATCTAAAGACAATTAGCTTTCCGTGTTGCCCACTTAAAAAGACTTCAATCTACCATCGGTTTTTAATTATTCTATTTGGTCAGACAGATATAAGAGGCAGTCAATCATTAGGCCACTGGGATTTTAGCTAAGACGATAACCATATATCACCAAGTCATTCGGCTGCCTGCCGTTAATGTTTATTGATGCAACCGTGCCCTTTTGGTTGGATTATAGAGGAGATACCCCGCTTTTCTCCGTATTAGCTTGCGCTTTGTTTTATTATTCAACACAGCATAGTTTATAAAAATATATCAATAACAATTTTCAGTCTGTTGTTTACAATTTCCATAGTTAAGTGATGTGATGTGGATTTAGCTTTATAGACGTAACCTTACGAGCATATGTAGAACGATCATGAAATACAGAGATAAGGTTATTGATAAGTATATCTTGTGTCTTGCTCTAAGTAAAGACTTATAAATCGTCTTATATGTATAATAAATGCGAAGCACCGATTACATGTCTCATAAATGTATTATACTTAAACAACGTGATGCAAATAATTCGCTTCATATAGGAGGTACTTTAAGTTTAGACTTAAACCAACTTGGTGACTTTACGAAAGCCCAAACGCTCAAACTAGAGTTTTGTAGAGTAATTGTCTAAGTCTTGGCCCAGAACATTTGAATGAATAATGTCAAAGCGTGCATTTATGATCTTTTTTGGTTGATATTCCTAACTATTTTTCTGAAATTCATCAAACATCCTTTTTGTTAAATACAGCTCATCGTGCGGTTATCAATTTTATCTTATGTGTCTTGACAACTCCTTTCTTATGGCTGCATTTATAACAGTGACTATGTCACTCATTGCCGTTTGTTTCAGCCATACACATTAAGCTTAGTGTCAAGTATTAAAGCTCACATGATGACTAAAATCTCACTCTTGAGTAATTTAATTTCCTCGTTTTTTATTGCAACACATATTGTTTTAATGAACAATGAAGCTCATATTTTATTATCTTCTGCAATAGATACAGTGACTCATTTAGCACGCAAAACCGCATAAAAATGTTTTTGTACATCATTATGCATTGCTAATTAGAGATGCTTCGAATTTATTAAGTTTAAAAATATAATTAATGTAAATCATGATATTTATAGTGTAGTATTAAGTTTGCTTTGTCTAACATTAATCTCTCGCACATTAACTAAAAGCTTTAGTAGTAGCAGGTATTAAATCTTTGGCTAAAATCAGAATAATCACAATTGTATTGACGGGAACGTAATTCTTTACTGTTACTCTATGATGTCTTTACAAAGTTCACAGCTTCTATATGTTCCAACTATCTTTGGCCCTTACTTTATTTATTTCACCTTACACGTTTAATTATTACTCGCTAGATGTTCCAAACTTGTTAAGCTTTCTTCGATCATTTGATTTACTTAGAAAGCAACGTTAGCGTTCAACCGATTCTCCGGCTAGTATTTTACCTTGTATCTCCAAATGGTTTTGGCCATTTTATTATTACAAGGCCTTTAAAGTTAATAGCCTACCTTTGTGGATGCAAGTGGGTACTAAAGTTCAGCACGTCAGAATTTCAAGCCCACTTATTAAACCAACAAACTTAAGGATGGTGATTGAAGCCTAATTTTTAAATTCACTTAGTTGCAGCCGGTTAAAGCGCCTTTAAAATGTTTGCGTAGTCACCATTTGGCTTTCAATGTTGCATAATGTAAAGCTTTGATGGACATTTAGCGACCACACCTTTTACTGTGATCTAGCGAAAACTATTGTTGTGGAGGTCAACTAGATGCCTTTTTCCAAGGGCTGCCTTTCTTGTCAATAAACAATAATGACTGGAGTATACCTGATTAAATCGAATTGTTCAAAATACACCGTACGCAGCAAAAGTACTTACAAATTGAAGCTTACGCTTATCCTTTGCTTGTATCAACAGCCAACTAGTACTCCTTGACACTAATAACATTCTGGGTTTTACAAAGACTCCGCTAAACCAATTATTTGCGTAGTGCTACGATAGCCCACTTGTATTTATTAGATTTGTGTATTTGTGACATAGACGTGATTATTCTGCAAGATAAAATGAGATCGTTACAATAATATATTCCTTTGTTTTTAGTTAATTGCCCTGCACATACATACGGCTATATAGCGTTGGCGATGTTTAAATTATTTATCTGCACTGGTTTCTAGCATGAATTCCATCAAAGATTATACCAAAAGAGTTAATCTTATTTTAACAACTTTTACTGCAACCCTACCAATAAATTAAGTGACTGTTTAAAAGCCGTAAGCTAAGTTCGAAACACAGGGTTTGTTGCATTAAGTATACGATTTTTTGACACTTTTCTTTATATTTTTCAAGAAAAGTTGTAAATGGTTATACTGTAACTCGAGAGAATTATATGGAACTCAGCTTGTGTTTTACGTTTGTGTTATTAGAAACGGAGTAATATGATAAAAGACACCTCAAACTTACACCTTCAGATTTCAAAGAAGTGCTGTAAACCTATTGCAAATCAAAAGGGGTATCACTCTCCTTAGATAGTCAATTGAAGGCGTCTTTGGTAAACTGTCTCGTGCATTTATTTCAACTCGTGTGGTTGCAAAACCAATAAAGTTGTACTAACACTATTGTTTTTAACGTTTACGATTATTTAGTGATTCTACTTTACCTTTCATCATTAGTAAGAGAAATGGCTTAGAAAAATTATCATAAATTTTAGTCTTCTAGAGAAAGAAGTTATGGATTAATCACATTCACTATTAGAATTCATATGAGACTTGGTAAACTAAGAAAGTTAGCTGCACTGTCAACATGTTGCACTTTCATTTATCATTTGATGATTTGCTTTATCATTTACTGTTTATACATATTACTGCTAATGTTTTATTGATATTATTTTAATTTCTCACTGGGTATATGTTGTTTCTCTTTGGAGTGTTTACTTTTTATTTTATTTTTACCATCATTAATTTAACCAACGCATGTAGTATTCATAACAGTTATTTTACTGGTCAGAGATGCAAAAGTAATAGAAGTTAGCTTATCAACTACCATTGGGATATTAATCCCTAAATTTTCAGCGATGTTTGCAGCCAGTTACCCTGGTGGTCCAGTCAGGCTTATTGCCGCTCAAGCTACGTAATTATATGCTGACTGTTTTTGATAGAAGTTTGGTACATTTGCCTATTCTAGGGGTAGAAAGATGTGGCAAATAACGGCAGTTGTTATATAAAAGTCGCGGTGAATTATTTACTGAATAAAAGTGAGAGTTCATATGTAGACATAAAATAGAAATAAAGTTAAAGTTTTACTCTAGCATGCGTTTAAATTTGTATCGTCGTCTCCACGTTTTACTTTTGAGAAAATACAGATGTTTTATTGCTTTTCCTTGCATATATGTAATTTACTTTACCATATGTAGTTTGCTTGCAGGTATAGTTGTTTCGTTACTCTCTGGGTAGGCTATTTGTTAAGAATTTATGTGAACTGCATATGATTAACTGAAGGTTGCATTCCGCTATTTTATCCGTTTAAGAACTGCGATTGAATGGCCTAATCTAAATATACTTTCTAATTAGTTATCGCCTTTAAACTACTGTAGACGATCCGTTGGTGCTGGAACTGACTTATTAATGTCTAGTTACAAAGTGACGTTAAATCGTTTTACAAACCGTCAGAAAAAACACACATCTTTAAGTTTGTAGTGTCTTAACCAGGCTGCTAGTTGTTGTAAATGTGTTTTATGAGAAGTAACGACATTCACGGTACAAACATGCAGCTTTTTCTTAATTACTCACTGTGTCATGCGCTAAGCTTGCCTTTATCGTAAGTAAAATTACACTAATCTATGCTGTTAATGTTTAGAAGATTTCCATCCGAAGTTCACCGCAAATAAACTACAAATACACTTAGTGAAAGCAGCTGATAGAGTTTGCTTTCGTATTTCCATGTTACTGCTACAAACTGAAGGCATAGTTGGTATGCGGCTACAAAGAAAAATAGGTTGCCTACGGTTTTTCAGGATACCACATTACCCATTTATCACATCTCCTCTGCAAATCATATACAAATTTTGCAACCGTTGTTGGTGGGGACCAAGATTGTTTCCGCACCGATCCATACCAGGTCACGACTGACCGCATTATATGGTTGGCGGCATCCGGTTTCGGATTTGCCTGTCATTGTGTCCAGCCACAGGACGCCTGCGCCTACAGAGGGACCATGGGTGGCTTGCGCTGCACCACCCACAGCTCCAACCACACACACCCCATATCCAGTGTAAACCCGAAGGAATAAGACCGGGAGGCATGCGGATGGGAACCACGTTTCATCAACGGAGCCGGCGCACACTCCTTCACAGGCAAACACAAGCACACTGTATTTGGGGAATCAAGCGAACACAAGGCGGTGGCTGGACCGTAGTTCGCTCCACACTGAGTGCACGGAACCACTCTTCGAGCCTAGCACGGCCACAAGGACCGTGCACCCCGTCCCCTCCAGCAACGACCAACTGTCTCCTGGAGCCAGTATGGACGAGGTAGTGGGTAATAGACAAGTAGGCACCTTGTCAACATGCACATCAAGCGCAGCCACATCGGAGATATCAAGCAACAGCCAATCACTTGAAACGACAAAATGAACTAAAATAAATCCAATAATGCATACAGATACGGTGGCATAACACTTCGCTAAATTAGCATATGAAGCAACTCGGTTAGCAATGAATCCGCGATAAGGAAAAAGAATGTCCACAAGTTACTCAAAAATGCTAAAAACGCAACAAAATTACCGAAGATAAGCGCAATTAGCGTAAACAACGTGGCCAGCTAATAGAAGACTATCCAGATAGGCAAAACAAACCAAATAAGTTGGAATGAAATTTATGCAGCTTAAAGAGACCAAGTTTAATTGTAAGTTGGTTTAGCCCAACTGCGGCGAAGAAGCATCAAGAATGCAACATCAGCCTCAGCATGGGGCATTATATATATACATATATACATACGTAAAATTATCTTATATATATATATATTTAGATTGGGGTAATCCTTGTCCTGATTTGCCTTCTCTGTGGCTCCCACGGGGACAGTCACAAGTCACCTGTGCCAACAGAAGGAGCATGGGTAGTTTTCGTTGCACCACACATAGTTCCATTCTGACCTTACATCTCTGATGTAAACAAGAAGGAATAAGACCAGGAGGGACGTGGACAGCAGCCACGCTAGGCCAACAGAGCCGGCCCACACTTCTTCAACAAGCAGAGCAGAAGCATTCATGGCTAACTAAGCAGTTATACATACCAGACTTATAGAAGGCGGTGGCTGGGCCGCAGTTCTCTCCACACTGGATAGAGGTAGTCTTTCAGCCCAACACGGCCACAAGAACCGTCCATCCGGTCCCCAATCAAAGACTCACAGTCTCCCTGAGCTAGCAATTGTGGTATAGGGTAATGGACTTGCAGACACCTTATCAGAGTTTACCTTAAGCACAGCCACAGCAGAGATATAAGATAAGCAACAAAGAAGCTGAACGAAACAACCCAATATATATATATATATATATATACGGATACATATATATCTAGGGAAAGGTCTTTTATGGCTAATTAACTAGTCTTTGCACTAGCAGGGTGTTTCTTCAGATATAGCATTGCTCTTTAGAAGCGACATTCAAGCTAATCCAAACTTTGACTACACTGTATTTGACAGATAAAGCACACCGGATTTCGTAAAAGGTGAACTGAAAGGGATACTCTTCCTTGTATTTGTATAGATAAGAAGTCCTAAGATATTTCATAGTTGCTTAAGCCATGAGGTACTTTGTCTGTCCCTTGAAAAAGGTATCGTATGATTATCTTCGTACAGCAATGAAATACTTGTCTCTTTGTTTAGATTTATGTTTGAGCACACGTCCATTCCAGCTTAGTGCTTAAGTGCTATTTGCTGCTTAGCATACTCACCAATCTGGGTATTTAATATGTAGAACCTTATAACTTGATTGCCCAGACATTCATCATCCCAGCTTTGGTCAACCTTTCTACTGTTGCTCAAGCTTTAACTTACCTATATAAATTTATCTCAACTTATCAAGCTTTAAGCAATACGTTATCAACATTTACTCATTGGTATATCAGAATGTGTTCGACGCTAGCGCCTCTTATTTGTCCAAAGTAAGACAACCATCAACTTTTTAGAGGACAAGATTCCGGCATTGTTGGAAGAAGCAGGGGATTGGATGAAATTACATCTCAGTCAGCCTGAATGTTATTTAAGGCTCACGGAAGAGCGGCTAGAAGTGCTGGATCCCATTTCCGAAAAACCGGTTCAGTGGTTTCCATACTTGCTCATCCGCCGGTAAGTTACCTCTTTGGATGAGAACTCTGATACCATACTCTTTGCACCTGTGTTATATGCTATGATGCCTAAGCGTAAAACTTTACAGATATTTGCTTAATGTTTACTAGTTCACGTGGTCTGACTCTCCAAATTCTTTTTATGTGAGCAACATTAAAGAATACGTCCACTTTCGGCGTGGATACTTCTTGACCACGCTCATCATGGCTAAAATGTGATTAAAATCATAATCGCGTTAGCAGTTTCGATATATTATATCACTAGCCACGCTGGCTTCTATTATGTGTACAGGCATATATATGGATAAATTTCATCCCACCTTATTTGGCTTGTTCTGCCTACATGAATGATCTCCTATTAACTAACCACGTTGCTTACGCTAATTGTAGTTATTTTCGTTAACTTATTACGTTTGCACCATTTGTTGAGTGACTTCTGGGCATTTTGTACTCATCGCAGTTCCTTGATAGCTACATTACTTCAGACGATAATTTATCGACTAGTTATGTCTGCACAGTTTTATGCATAAACAGATATATTTGATTGGCTAATGTCATTTCAAGTGATTGGCTGTTGTTTGACATCTCCGGTGTGGCTGCTCTTGATGTGCATGTTGACAAAGTGCCTTCCTGTCTATTATCCCCTACCTTGTCCATACTGGCTTCAAGAGACAATTGGTCGTTGCTGGTGGGGATGGGGTGCACAGTCCTTGTGGTCGTGCTTGGCTCGAAGAGCGGTTTCATGCACTCTGTGTGGAGCGGACTAAGTTCAAGTCACCGCCTTTGCTGCGCTTGATTCCAAGATAAAGCATTCTTGTGTTTGCCTGTGAAGAAGAGTTGACCGGCTCCGTCGATGAAACGTGGTTCTTATCCACATGCCTTCTGGTTTACACTGTATATGGGTTGTGTGGTAGGAGCTGTGAGTGGTGCAGCGCCAGCCACACATGGTCCCTCTGTAAATATATATATATATATATATATATTGTGGCGTATGGATTCGACTCGGATACCGAAACAACTCCTATACGGTCAGCTGAGTATTGGGGAGCGACACGTGGGGAAACCAAAGTTACGTTACCAGGACATGATCAATGTGAGCGTCACACGTTCTAATCTTGATTGCTGGTCATGGGAATCGAAAGCGGTTGATCGGCGCGTATGTCGCGATCTCATCACGAAGGCAGTTGCTGAAGTACGGGAGAAAGCCCTCATGCATGCAGAGAAGAAGCGGCAAGTGCGGAAGCGGCAAGCACCCATCGACATCGAGTGCATGGTGCTGTAGCACATGCGGTCGCGAGTGCCTGAGTCGGGCAGACCTAGTGAGCCATGAGCGAGGCCACTCGGGACTACTACCGAAGCGCCGACGGGTTCTGCAGAGAACGTAGGCAGAACCGGCGCAGCATTTGTAGGTACGCTGCATTCGATTTACTAACCGCGTGCTTGCATGATAAGTCTCTTTATTTCAGGTGGTGGATTTTCAATTTTGCCCTGATGCTTTTCTTTCCCATATAAATGCCTAGTTATACTCTCTTCTATACACTTGCACACGTCGCTTAAGCCACTTGTAGTTATTTCGATAACATTTTCGTGTTTGTAGCATTTCCGTAAAATAAACCTCCTGATCTCGTGAACTTATCTCGTATTCTTTTGTAAACGTATTCTTTTGTAAACAACTTATTTCATATGTTCACTAATCTAAGATTTGTGTCACGGTTTGCTTACGCGCTAAGTCTGTTTATTTCAGGTGGTGGGTTTTCAATTTTGTCCCAATGCTTTGCTTTCTCATATAAATGTCTACCCGTACTTTCTTCTCTAAACTTGCACACGGCACTTAAGCCAATTCTAGTCCTTTTCGAAAACAATTTTGTATTCGTGGCATTTCCGTAAGGTATACTTTCTGACCTCGTGAACTTATCTAGCATTCTTCTGTAAGCAATTTACTTCAGATGCTCATTACTTCCCTTATGCATTCCTCGATTTATTTTCTTTGTTATCTTTCTCTCAAGTGATTGGCTGTTGCTTGATATCCACGGCGAGGCTGCGATTGACATGTTGACAGAGTGCCTACCTGTCTATTACCCACTACCTCGTCCATACTGGCTCCAGGAGACAGTTGGTCGTTGTTGGAGGGGACGGGGTGCACGGTCCTTGTGGCCGTGCTAGGCTCGAAGAGTGGTTCCGTGCACTCCGTGTGGAGCGAACTACGGTCCAGCCACCGCCTTGTGTTCGCTTGATTCCCCAAATACAGTGTGCTTGTGTTTGCCTGTGAAGGAGTGTGCGCCGGCTCCATTGATGAAACGTGGTTCCCATCCGCATGCCTCCCGGTCTTATTCCTTCGGGTTTACACTGGATATGGGGTGTGTGTGGTTGGAGCTGTGGGTGGTGCAGCGCAAGCCACCCATGGTCCCTCTGTAGGCGCAGGCGTCCTGTGGCTGGACACAATGACAGGCAAATCCGAAACCGGATGCCGCCAACCATATATATATATATATATATATATATATATATATATGGTTTATCACGGGTGATAAAGCACGTGCCTGACATGTCCCGTTAGATGGTTAGAGTGAAAATGAAGAATAAATAGATCAAAGAATAAGTTAATTGTCATTTTAAGCCTACAGCTGTTTGACTGCTTTGCCGCACACCGATATTTTGAAATGGGAATGGAATGTGCACACACGAGTTAGTATGGTAAGCAGTTATATTTAGGTACTCCGTGAGATATTCAACAACGGGTGACTACACTCACTCTTGTGCCGATTCATGTCACGATGGTTTCGTCAGCGGGCATGATACTACCCGGTTGTCCTGGCTGAGTTAGCGTGTTGACATAGAGGAGCCCATTCCGAGGCTTTGAATGAATATTCCTTTGGCAAAGCAGTGCAATGCACTCAGGGAATCGCGCTCATTGGGAGCCGATGTTTGGTTCCTCGGTACAGCCGTTTTTACCTTGGTCAGATGACAAACAGGGGCCCAATTCCCCGCACATTTTCAGCGGCATCTTGATGGGATCCAATGCTGTACCAAAGCGAAGGAAGAGGCAGTGGCCATTTGGTGGCGAGTCAAATCCGCCACGTCACAGTTTTGTTAAATGGACATATATTTTACAGAAGATCGCTTGTCATGCGAAAACCAACCACTTCCTGGAACACTGCCGCTCAACGATTTGCTCGAACTGGATGGTCCTGTACCAACCAGCTGGCACCACGTAGAGGTTGTTCGACAAGCCAGCCATAACATATATATACACCTAGCTTATGTGTAACTATATGTCATTATTTATTTCCAATATAAAAAACACAAGTTCTATTGAGCGACACTTGTAACTTAATAGTTGTTGCGCAAGTTTCTGTCGGAGCGTTCATGCAGTTCATGATTTGGAGGAGAACGGTTAAGCTTCTATTTCTGCGGAAAAGTACCGCAAACCTGCTAATCCTGTTTTCGACATGGCTAGTACTTTAAAATCTAACCACTGTGTGCTATACATAGAGTAGTAAACGCTAACGAGAGCTAGGAATAATTGTCACCGATTTTTATCTTATGACCTTTTAGCCACATTTATTTTATAATAGTGGCTTATACATAAAGCTTCTTTCAGCACTCAATTTACACATATCTTTGGCATGATCCTTTGTTCTCTGAATGGCGGTATCAATATTTGTAATCTCAAAACAACCACAATGCCAAAGAGTCGTCAAGGATATATTTACGCATTCTCTCGCAATGATTTTTTCATCACACATGGTGTGGAATGATCTTTCAATAGGAGAGACCGAAATGGTTAATACCCCCCGTTCCTTTAAGTGCAGAGGTTTGCTAACACAATTAACCGCGGATATTTTTGGTTTGTTTGGAGTGACCAGCGTTGACCCCACAGCTTATAGCGACAAGTAGTGATATCAATTGGTAATTTCTATATCTGGCGCTCCAATCCCGGTTAGAATATGTTTGCCCAAAAAGCGCTGAGATCGGACAGCGGGTAACTTTAGTCAAATAACTATTTTGCTAATGTTGGTCTGGTTGAAAGGTCACTTGTGAACAGCATCTTTACAGAACGATTTTCAGGTTGTTTGGAAGTTTCACGGTTTATAAAATGTTTACTATTTAGCACTGTGACAGAGACAACTCAGGACTAGGGTCTATTTAAACACCATGTCAATAAGACAGTGAGGTAATAGATACAAGAATTCGTATTTTGTCTTGCGACACAAGATCCAAGTGCTTTTTCACCATCGACTATGGTAAACTACGTTTCCGATCCATCAACAAGGATTAGTCGGACAAACGAGTGGCACTGCAGATCGGGTCGATTTAGATTCGTTTTGTTATTGTGGAGTGTCAACAGTCTGATGTCTCACTCAAACAGTTTTTATTCCCATGGGTATTATGGCCTACCGAGTTAGAGTGCTATGTTACCTAGCCACCTGAAGTTTTCAAAAAAACATATATTCCTGGAAGCTATTTCTACCAGAGCTTTAAATTCAGTATCATGATATGCATGTAGAGATGTTTATGGCGTTGTCGGTTCTGAACATCGCATCATTGCATGACCGGCTTAGTCTCTGTTTCGACTCTTCAGGTAGAGAGAGATATTCGATTCTGTGAGTGTAACCAGAGCTTTTCTGTTCACAAGCAGACACGTTTAACAATAAGCCTCTTCACACCACTGACAGCGTCTGTTACGGAAGTTAGGATTTCACTTTTGGCTACTGAAATACCCTGCATTTCTATACCACAACGCTTCATCTCAATTTCGGTTGCGACTGCTTTCAAGTGGATCCGGATCATTCAGCAAACCATGGTTAAATATTTTGGGCATTTTAGACTTCCGACATAGACTCCAAAACGGGTTTCCCTTTGATTTGGGCTAAATAATTAAAAAGAACCGGAAATAACTAGGATGAGGTAGTTTTTACATCTTATCCAAAAGGCTACACTACCAGCTCACTAACCTCTGTGTTTGTTCTGTACCTCTTGTGATTTGCCTTCTATTCGAAG